TACCTTTTATGTAACCCAAATTAACAATAAAGTAACTGGATCTGCTAGAGCATCACACTAGTTTTAGACTCAGGGAATAGGGAATAAGAATACATTTTCCTTTTTTTTTTTTTTTTAACAAATAAAATGCAGCATCGGCTCTCTGCATGAAGCACATATATTATTTTATCAATAAAATCAATTATTAAAAATGAGAAATCACTATAGTCATACCTTATATTCTAAGGGACCATAATTATTTAGCCATGTGTGAGATTGTTAAGGTCAAAAAAGCACCTTTAGTTAAAAATTTCAGAAATAAGTATACATTTAGTTATATAATTAGTTATATGCCTTCATTTATTAATTCAGTAAGTATATACTGAATGCTAAGTACCAGACAGCAAGCAAGGCTCCAATATGTAGGCACTATGTATATATGTTCTCAAAATAAATGAGCCTGTATGGACTTGTGTGGAAGGAATAAGTATTAACTCAGTATTTTTTTTCTAATGCAGATTGTCAAGCAGTTTATTAATTGCTCAATCTGAAGTCAACCGAAAGATCTGTATAATATAGTGTCTCCTTAAAAGACTTTCAATTTTCCTATTTAGAAGCATGGGACATACCTTTTACACCAAATGAGTTTTAATATAGCAAAAACATATGGTCTAAGTTGTAGTAACTATCCTGCTTTGATATTTTTTAAATTCACATTTTATTACCCTAGTTACACTTGCAGCTATTAAATCAGTATTTTCTATTGATTGGATTAATATTGGTCCGATTGGTTATTGGCAATATAGAAGAGCCAAACAGAGTAAACTATTCCTATGTGTCCCAAACATCTGAAGATATAGATAGATATAGTTATATAGATACTGCTATAGATATAAATATGAGATAATTGGTTGAATTTTTCACTTTTTAACTGTGTGATGATTAGTCCAACTGTTAGTAAATCAAGGAACATTGTTTCCATATGCTTATTTATTTCCTCATTTAACACAGGTCTAAGAAATTATACAATCTTGTATGGACATACACAGAGCTAGAAGATTTCATCTTCCAGACAAACAGTATCTGTGTCATTTACCCCTACAGTTAGTATTTTCTGAGTATTTTAAGGTCAAGAAGATGTTTTAATTTGTTGATGATTAACTGAATTCTCACTTCCAAAAAAATCATTTTGCTTACTGATTAACCTACATTGATCAAGTCACATAAAGCCCTTGGACAGTCCAACACAGGCCACAATCCAAAAGCCATGTCTTAGTTATATTGGTTGGTTGGTTGGTTGGTTGGTTGGTTGGTTGGTTGGTTGATTGGAGTGGGAAGGACACTTGAGAATATTTTTTTTAGTAGTATCTCTAATTTTGAGTAAAAAAAGGCAATCTAGTCTGAAGTTTTTTCAAAAACTAAGTTCTTGGTTTATATCACTTGTCACTGACATAAATAATTATTATTACTGGGGCAGGGGTGGTGGTGCCTGGGTAGCTCAGTCAGTTAAGCACCCAACTCTTGCTTTCAGCTCAGGTCATGATCTCACAGTTCATGAGTTTGAGCGCTGTATCAGGCTCTGTACAGTTTGTGCAGAGCCAGCTTAGGATTCCCTCTCTCCCCTCTTTCTTTCTGCCTCCCTCTCTCAAAATAAATAAACTTAGAAAATAATTATTACCAAGGATCTTAGGTGTTTTGGATTTTCTAATAATTATAATGATATAGCATGCGTCTTCATTTAGTATTTTATAGGGAGAAATGGTTCTTATTTGAACCTTGGAAATCCCAAAGTCAAGCTTTTTATGTCATAAATATATAGCCAGTTCAATTAGAGACAATATTTATCACTTAGACTAACATCCTTCTAAACATCTGAAACTTCAAAAATACCATTATACTCATTTGGAAAATCTAAATTGTTTGCCAAAACTCCCTCTCTGAGTTACATAATGTTGAAAATACCTGTTTAACTAAATCATACAAAGCTCTTAATCAAATATAGGACCAATTACGTCTGTTACTTAGAGAGAGCTGCAAGGACCTCTTGTATAACAAAGTGTCTGGTTCACTGTCTCTGTACTCTCCTGTGACTAAGTAGAATACCCGTAATTCCCAGGGGGTGATAACAACTAGATGGCAGGTGGCACACCAGGTCATTCTCCATGGCCTAGCAACATTCCATCACTTAGAATTCACGTTTTCATAGTTACTTGCCTAATCTACTTTTGAAGTAAGAGCACCAAATGGTGGTTTCCACAACATTTCTGTAACCAGAAGAAATTGAGACCTCTTATTTCTCCAAAATGAACAGAATCCACTGTGGTTTCTCTTTTTTTTTTTTTTTTTGACCAAACTTTGAATGTTAAGGAGACAAATGAATGTTCAAAAAAGATCAGCAAGTTTAAATTTTCAAGGTATTTCAAGTTATCAGTCATCTCATCTCTTTTTTTTTTTTTGCCTTACCAAGTATTTTTCAATATCATTTCTTAGAAAATTGTATGTTTCAGTACCATTTGTTAAACTTAGGATCCTAATTTCCTTTTTATTTATGCAAAAACACCTTATTCCACCTCATATGCAAAAACACCTTTTCATTTCTGCTTTACCTAAGTGAGATAGTCATTTGTATTATTGTTTTAATTAAACTGAAGTCATTTTTGCCTTAGATTTAATTTACAACAAATACATACACACATTCTTGATGGTAGTTGTGAGACAAACCAAGAGAAGTAGAATTAGATAATTTCTTGATTGCTAATTAAATAAAACCCCAAAACAGACACCAACTATTCTCTGCTTAAAGAAAAAGATAAAAGAAAAAGAAACCTCAGCAGATCATAAATCCTTGTTGTCTGTTGTTCTTGAATTGAATGCTTTACTAGAAAAGATGGCTCTTCAAGTTTTCTCTCTGTTCAGTGTAGTATTGGCGTAAGTAAAAACTGAGGTGTTGTTTTCTGCCTTCCTGTCAACACAATCAACCTACCTAGGATGAATCACGCCTCATGACCCCATGGTCCTCTTGAGCTCCAGGATGAAAATGTGGGAGATAAAATGAAAGGACTTGGTGGTACCATCACTCAGCTATTTTCCCCTTCCTGGTCATTGTATCTTTCTCTTGAGTTGATTTTCATTATACATGAACTGTATAAGTTGAAGTCCATTATCATTTGGTAAGGCCTTGCTATCAACAATAACAATAACGTGTAACACTTTGGGATAACATTTATGTGTTATATGCTGTACTGGTACTAATTCATTTTAGCCTCAAAACTTACAAGTTGTCCTCTTGTGACTTCATTCCCGTTTCTGGGAAGTAAATGATGTGCCTTCATTCACCATGTGATGTTTCCAATTTCAAAACTACATGGTTAGTTCTCAAGGGGTGAAATTTATGAGAAGCCAGAGTAGACTTTTGAGCATGAATTTGGGAATTAGATATATTTGTGTAAGAATCTCTATGCCATTGTTCCTTCCGTGAACTGTAGCAACTCATTTATCCTTCCTATGTCTCAACTACCTCATACGGGAAATGGGCTGGAAAATATCTTCTGAGATTATTGAGAGAATTTAATGTGATAATGCACTGAAAGCACTTAGCACCGTGTCTTTCATGGGGTTAAACACTGAATATTACTAATAAACATGATGGCACGAAGTGGCAAAACTATATGACATTCTATATTTTATCCTAAGCCTTTTCACATTTACACTTGTTTTCATTCATGGGGGATTACCTGCCAGGAGAAATGAAACTGAGAGCTTGAAAGGAAGTCACACCCTTCAGAGTGGCCCAGAGCAAAACTAGAATACCGTCAGATATTAAGAAATTAATGTATAGACATGTCGCAGTTTTCAAGCTGTCAGTCTGAAGTTTAACATCTCCCCAATGACATTAGTGCAGTCGTTCAGCCAAGAGTTTTAATACATTTTCTCTTTTTTTTTTTTTCTATTTTCTTCTCTTCCCTTTTCTTTTTTTGTCTTGTTTTTGGTTTTGTTTTTGTTTTTTGTTGGTACCTGGCATTACCTTTCCTGTCCTTGTGAAGACCTCCATTTGGAGAGCAGGTGGAGATCTTTTTCACCAATCCTTTTATGCCTGTTAGATTTATGGAGGTTTTCTTTTTCCTCTTCCCTAAATTCCATTAGTTTGCAGATTTTCTACAAACTATTTTAAGAGTTACTAATATCATTTTTGTGTATCTTTCAGGAAGGATTTGAGTAGGCATAATTGTGGGGTGTTTTTGTTTTTTGTTTTTGTTATTTGGACCTTAATCTTTTTTCCCTTTCCCTCGTTACAAAGAGTATGGAAAAACAGAGGGTCTGAGCTTTTAAATAGGATTGAATGCATCTTTGAAAGCTAATACTTCATATTGTGCTAAATGATAGTGCTCTTTAAAATTGGATGTGTTATGTTGTAAATAAGGTTAAATACAAAGAATCAAGGTTTTAGGAATCCCAGGGTCTTGTTACACTAATCTCAAGTCAGATACTGCTTTATGAGAGAGCACAGTAGTTTAATGGGCATTTATTGATTTATATTAAATTATAACTTTGGAGACAGTAACTTGCAAACTTAAAACAGTCATATGATATTATGAATTACATCTTCTGTACATTAAGAGATCTTAAAGCAAGGAAACCAAAGATAGAAAATATTGGTTCACATTTCAGACCACAGTAAGTGTGAAAATAGCCTCAATTTAATAAAAATGTATGATGCAACTTTCCGTGGGTTAAATGTCTTACAATTGCCTTTGGAATGGGCACTTGTTTTCCCATTATTGGTCACTTTAATTGACTTACACTCTAGTTTTCTCATTTAAAGATCACTTTATAGTCCTGGGTGCTCTTCATCTGAGTGATATGTTCTACTCCTGCCTGGTCCAACAACACAACAGTTTACATATTTCTGAATTTGATCCGAAAACTGATTTAAAAATCCATATGGGCAATCCAATTTATCTGAAAATATATACACACAAGTCTGCTCAGAGGTGGCTAAAATAAAATAAATTTCATTTTAGGAGACAGGAAGGAAGCCGAGACAAGACAGTGAAGATTCTGAAGTAAATGGGTACTTGCTTTGACCAAGATCGAAACCCACCTCTCCCCAGAGAATGTTAGAAGAGGGTATGGAAGACAAGCATTGGAAAAGTAGAATGTTTGTGCTTTTCTTTCTGGTGAACTGCATTAAATATTCAGCAAAAGGGGGGAGATCAGTTTACATTACTCTTCTTGTTTCTCATGTATCGACTGACAGGTGCTGTAAACATACATAGACAAACATGGTCCTATGCTTGCAGTGCTCCGGTGACTGAGGGAAGACTGAGTATTTAATCTCCCAAAGTGATCACACTGAGGACTTAGCAGACACACTACGCTGAGATTGAAGAAGAGGCCATAAATTTTCTATTTTCTACAAAACTATAGGAGCTTGCTTTTCAACTTTGATTCTCAAGAAAATCTACTCAGAGAGATGGTTTTGTTCTGGCAATAAGTTCCTAGGGTAGAGCAATCTTCTTTTGATTCTGAGGACTTAACTGAAACCTTTACTAATACTTTTGAAATAACAGTAGCAGGAAGAACCCAAGAGGCGCCTTCATCTTCTGTCTGTCTTGCTTTGCTGGAGGTAAACCACCAATCCACATGCCTTTGATTTCGCTAAGGGTAGAACTTCAGCAATGGGGGAGAAAGAACTGACCTTGGCTTTGAGATCAGAACCAGTATTTAAAACATTTACTCATTCATGCTTTAGAGATGTCATGGTAAATAAATTATAACTGTTTATGCGGAAGACTAAGAAGCTCCTTTTTCTACATCATAGGCAGCGATTTGGCTGAGATCGTATCATTCTGTGATACTATCACAACTACCTTTTTTCTCACTTGAATTGTACTTTTGGCTGTCACTTGCGCTTTTGAATAAAGGTTTACATTAGTGGAAGATATCATAATAGCCTAGCTCCTTTTCTTGAGTTGATATACAAATCAAAAAGAAAGGATAAGGCCAAGACTCCCTTTGTCCTTGGAAAAATATGCCATCTGCATTTAGCTTATGATATTCAGCTGGGAACAAAATTCTAGCATAAGGAAGTCGTTAATACAACCCTCAAGTTACACTGTAAATTCAAAGTACTTTAAATGCCTTATAATAGTCAAAGCCAGTAAAATCGACCCTGTATATTTTTATTTCATCTCTGTTGGATCATATGATATTTAATAATTGGTTCTGGCACCTCGTTGCAAATTATTATAACTTTGAGATTCAACAGTCCTATTGAACATATGGGCAGCACAGCCTCAGAACATATATACGATACAGCCTCACGAGAGGACCTTCTGTCTTGTTTTCCTTAGCTTGGAAGGGTCAGGTAAATTTTGTTGTGTCGTCATGTGCTAAGATTCCTCAATCTCTGTTTTGCAGGGTAAATGCTTAATGGAACTGATTTTTTTTTTTTCTCCTTAACTGTGAACACTTCCTTTGCAAAGCCAAAAGAGAAATTCATGCATCTGGGAAGCAGTTTACTGGGCTCTTACTAAAGCAGTTATAAAGCTATTCCAGTATCAGTGCACAAGTATTCATCAGCCCAGAATAGGTTCTATTACTTAGTGCCATATTGTATCCTGGTTTAGCTGCAAACCTCAAGAGTTTCTGGAGTCAGGAGACCTTCCCATGGTATTGAAAGCATATGATGATGCTTCATTAATCCTGGAGAAGATGGAAAGTTGGCGATAAGCTATAGTTGACCCCAAGAAACCTTTCATATAGTTAGACATTCTCCCCTTAGCATTTCTTTCTTCTAGCTCTGCTCACAGTAACACCCTGCGACAATATTAGGGAAAGCATTTCCACATCAACAGCCCGTTAAGGTTATTTTCAACGTTCCTGCTGCTTTGCCTCTATATCTAGCCTGTGTGCCTTGATTTGCTCTTGTATTATTTCACATTAATTGCCATATTGTTTATTGCCATATTCAAACATACCGTAATATGGGCACAGTGGCAATAATTACATAGTAATCTGTACTTAAAAAAAGATGTCAAGATGGGTAGTGGTGGGTGAGTGGGTGGGGTAGGCAGAAAGTTATGATTTATACCTTATGTTGACATTGTGGAACAGAGCTGGTTCAATTTCTCTTGATTTCACTATCAATGCCTAAAATTAATCTCTCTCTGTCATATAATTATTCATTACTAAGACTACTAAGCTAAAAAGTTCATGGAGGTGGGGGCAGTGATTAAAGGAATTTTTCAAGCATTTATTTTACTCTTGCCACTGCAATATTACATTTTTAAAATCGACATCTCAGTGGACAAGAAGTAGCCGTATGCAATGTTTATGATCCTAACTCATTTTGAAACTCCTGTGTTCTTTAAGAATGTTTTAAAAACAAAAATACTTTTTATACCTATGCTTATGCGCATATATATTTGCTCTAAATATGCATACAAGGCATTTTTAGGCTCTGGGATATGATCCCCTCTTTGTTGTATTTACAAAAATCCACCTCTCATTGAGCCATCCCACCCTCGTACACCACACTGATCTTGTGAATCTTCTTCACAATCGCATTGTCACTTGGTCAAGACAATACCAAGAATCGTCCTCACACTTGTGAGCAGCAAATCAGAGTAATGCTTGGTCCTCCTGGTTGACAATCTGGAAGTTGAAATCCTTTTCATGTCGGCAGAGTTGAAAATATCCTTTACTGCCGATTCGCTTCCCATCCTGGTCTGCTTGCTTGGCATCATGTGAGCCAGTAGGTGGAGTGCTTGCTAACAGTAATTGAATATACAGAACTTGAATTTAAAATAAGTGGAAACCACTTTTCTTGTTATAAACTGCTAAAACCATATTTACACTGAACTCTTTCTATGGATATAATTAGTTGAAGAAAAGTTCCAAGGGCAGGGTGGAGATGAATGCAGGACGATAGTTACATGGTAGAGCACAGAAAGGCAACTTGTGCCCAACAGGATCAACACATCATATGGTGTAAACCCATGTAAAGGGGCCCTTTCTCAAACATTCCACTGAATTTGATTTGGAAAATGGACCTTCATCCCCCTTTTAAAAATTTAGTCATCATGCTGTCCAAAGCATAAACTAGCCTTGTACATGAAAAAGCTTATGCAATAGAAGATTAATTACATACATGTGTTAATAATAGTCATAGTAAATTCAGCATCTTTGGAAAGAAAAGTTGCGAGAGATGCCTCCAAAATAAAGTGTAACTTTCCCATAAGAGTGTCTTGTTTTCCTTCAGAAGAAGGTTTTCAAATGTATTTAAAAGCTGCAGCTTGAGACTTGCTAACTACATCACTCTAAATCTATCTATATCACACCTAAAGATGTTAAAGCAACATTTAGAACTCCAAGGAGAAAACAAGCAACAGAATTTAGAAAGCAGGAACCACATGGAAATAAGAAAAATCTTCAGTCGTTTTTTAAGAATGTGAGTCCTATGATGTGAAGTAGATGAAAATGCAAGAGTTTAAAAAAGAATCTCTTGTTCCATATCAGGAATACTTACAGATCTGATTTCATGGCACGCAAGTGCTGAAGATCTCTGTGGCTTGCAAATACCACTCCGTCTAAAAGGACTTCAGAGCAAATAATTGCACAGTATGCAATGGCAAACACTGCTAAAATAGTGATCACTTCCCCTTTATTTAACTTTTTATTATAAAAATGGTAAACTCTCTTAAATATAACTTCATGAGGACATTGTTGATTTTTTTTTTTTTTAAATTGTGTCATCATGTTCTCAGCTCATATGAAATTTTGGACAGATTTGTGTTTCAAATATATGACTTTTTTTTCACTTTGGGTTGGAATGGAGGAACGGAGGGGAAGAGTGAGCACTGCTAGCTGAATTAATCACCCAAAGCTTTATGTGGTAAATAACTGTTTGAAGCATGCAATAAATAGCTTTACTAAAACCAAACAACTGTTTGCCACTCACTGCCTTTTCAAGCAATATCAATAGCAAAATTGAACTCCCTCAGGCCAGAAAAAGGGAGGGGGGGAAGAAGAAGAGTTACTGTTAATTGAAAATAATAACATATTATATTTCTATCTCTGATCCGAAGGGAAAAGAGTATGTTCATTTCCATGAAGAATCTTAAATCAGGCCATGGAATCTGGCTAGTAGATTAGAGTGCCAAACTATGACCAGAACACAATCTAGATCCCTTAGCCGAGAAAGAGAGCTTTGGGGAAATGTATTTATTGTTTGCTTTTGATTTGCAGAAGTAGTATGAATATTGGCATATTCTAATTCCAAGGCGATTTGTGTGGTGGTGGGCTAGCCTCCAATGAACCCGTAAGGGAGTTCTGTTAAGAAATGAGTAGCTTTGTCTCAATCTTTCTCCAGGTTCATTTATTTGCATCTTCAGGTTGTACAAGTATCACTGCATACTTAGCATATTTTTATGCGTCTCATTTGGAAAAAAAAAAATGAGTTCACTTGCTTTCTTGTCAGTTGTCATTGATTTTACCTTGTTTTCTTTGCTTCACTGTGTTACTTCCCCTTAGATGTTGAGCCATGTCATTCTCAGCCAGTGTTCATCCCTTGATAGTGAGTAGGCAATAGACTTTACTGAGAAATAGAAAAGTGTTAGCCTCTGATCTCACCAGGATTATATTCTCTCTTAATAGAAGCTGTTGATAGATACTGAACAGCTCCACATTGGGGTGTTGACTTGTAGAATGAAATCCTCTGCACACAAGCACAGCAAAATATTTTGGTGAAAAGTAATTATCAGAAATAGTGACACTAGTAAATTAGTTAACTGCATTTCAGCATGAAGCTTGAGTTACCCCTGCCCATTCTTGTTCCAGACCCATTTGAAATCAGCAATTCAGCTTAATGATGTCACAACATTTGCCAGGCTGTGGGCACTGAAGAGAAGACACAGGATCGCTCCCATCACATGAGGTTCCCCTCCTTTCTCTCTACGCAACCAGCCCATCTGTTTCACTCGCTCGGAAACTGTTATCTTTGAAACATCATTCTATTATTATCATGGTTGTTCTTTAAAATGGGTCCTTAACTTTGGATTTTGTTTTGGAAATCAGGTTTTCAAATTCCCTCGGATCTCATTGGCCCATGTAAAATGTTGGTAGTAATATGCCCTAGGAGCGGCTCATCTCCCTAAAGAGCACAAATACTATATATCTCCATTCACTTACGAGAGGATAACCTTTTGTGAAATACAGATAGCCTACTTTTTTTTTTTTTTTTAATCACAACAAAGGATCCAACCCCTCCCAACCTCTAATATTTTTCAAAGTGTGAATTGAAGAGGACTTAGAGACAGATGGGTCTGGATGATCAAGTTACCTGTTATAGCAGCACATCTGCCGGGGCAGTCAATCACTGTGACGGCTCTGACAGGTCGATGGAGCCTGAGCAAGGATGGCTAATGCAGACAGAAGAAC